TCGTATATCCGAAGTATAGAGAAAGTCTTGTAATCGTGCACAAGAAAAATCGAGATTTTTACAAATTTCGACGTTTTACACCTCACTGATACCTAAAAACATAATTTTGCAATCTTGTCCGTATGTCTGTGTGTCTGTGTGTGTGTCTGTGTGTATGTAAACACGATAACTTGAGTACCGTTACAGCTAGTTTGATGAAATTTCATATATAAATATTTTATCAAAATCGTAGATCCGTATCAACTTTTGAGCGATTTCCGATAACCGGAAGTGGTACTTTTTCTACTTTGAATTTTTCATAAGCCTAAAACATAAGTACTATTTCAGATAGATAAATGAAATTTCACATGTAAGTAAAAGATCTAATTCTCTGCCTTCTTTCAAATTTTGAGTAATTTCCGTTGCCCGGAATTACTAATTTAAGCTATTTCCGATTTCTCAAAAAAAAAAACGCATGTAAATTTATAAAGTACTAATTATATTGCGTACTATTATGCATATTTTGTTTTGGCGTCCGCTGGGTGCGCAATTCTTTTTTCTACTAGATTTTATTCTATTTTTAAAAGTTTAAGTAACCAAAAATCATGTCTATATTCCGAGTTGCAATCCCACGTAGTGTTATATTAGAATGTTCGAGAAAGTTTAGGGGAGTTCACTCCCGGTTTATTATTTGATGTATTTTAATGTATTTTTGATTTGATGTGTGGTCGATTTGATGTATTGATGAAGTGATTATCGTCAGTATTAAGTAAATGTTTATTTCAAATATATACATAACTGTCCATAGAGTAGAGCAAGCAGAGTTCAAATATTTCCTTGACATTTGTATTAGAAGAAATGTATGCAAGCACTACGTCACTGTCCCTTTATTTTAAACGTATTTGATGGAATATGACCCTATATCAGGGACTTAAACATTTGAATTGTACCAGAGAATGTCAATGCACTTTATCCTTGCAGTTGCTAAATAACCAAAACATATAGATCCTCTAAATCTGCTTATCACATCAATTTAAATGATCAAACAATTTATCCACCCTACCCCCAAAAAACCATTCAGTCATTCAATAAAAATAATAATAATAAAAAAAAAATCCCCATACTTAAACATCAGTCCGACCCCCCCCCCCCCCCCCTCACCCCCAGCGATTCTCGTCGCGTTTGACGTCCGACAAAGTGCAATAGCATTGCGTCGTCTGCTGTCTGTCTCACGTCAGAGACGGGGATGATGTCGGATTATCGTCCGCTCCTTCTGACACGTGCATGCATCGCGACATACAGCACGTGAATTCATCTTGCATTTTAATAGGGGACACATTGCTAATGGGGTATCCACATATCCGAATCCGTTTCGTTGTATTTAGACACACAGTTATGTATATTTATACATTCCATGCATTTATTTATTTACCATTTTACTTTTTAGAAAATTCGTAGCATTTATTTAGAATCACAATCTAAATGTATGTTTCTTAATCATTTGTCAGTTTTATAGCTTTAATACCAGTAAAAATCAATCACTTATAATGTTGGTTAAAATGGTCTATTGCTTTAATGTTTTCACTGAATATAACTTACCGGTATTTTAAGTATGTACGGTGGTTAAAAATAATTAACCGCCCCGCCCCCTGCCCTAGCCATCCGCCCTTCTAAGATAGGTGCGTGACGTCACTACTTAGCGATCACTTTTACATCCGCCTAAAGCGCAGATTGAAAGAAAAAAACCACAAGATGAAGAGAGATAGACAGGGATGGGATTAAAAAACCACGAAGCGGATGAATACAATGTGACGTAGCTCTGATCAAACTACGCGTGCTCTCATCCGCGCTAAATATAATCACTGTCACGTGGCCTCCATCAAACCTCCGCCATTTTGTTTTTGTTTTTAAAATGACCAGGAAATAAAAGGCTTATTTTCCCTTTTCCATCCATTCAATTCCCGTTTCGAACTAATGATATTAAACATTTTTTGGCTATTTAGTTTTGAGAATAAACATGAGGCAAAAACTGAATGCCATGAGAAGAAGGACCCGGGTTTTCTGGGGTCAATACGTATTTCTTACAGTAGGGGTCAGTTTCACAAGATCCGACCCTAGGCTGGTGGGTTGTTTCAACTTATAGGCTTACATTAAGATCCACTGCCGGGTAACCAATCAATGGTAGTCGTAAGTGGAGTATAATTTAAATAAAGTCAATCGTTAATTGAGTTTAAGCCAAACACAGTCGGAACAATGCTGGTGAAAGGTTGAGGAAGGAGAAACTTCGGGGCTTACATGGGCGTTACAGAGCTGCCCAAATGAGAGAGGTGTGATACAGCCCGTTGCTCCTCAGGGGCTTCACGGGATTAGGTATCCGCCCATACATATTTGGGAAACGTGTGTTTATGAGTTTTAAAAAAAATATAAATTGTTCTGTTCTTAAATCATTAAATTGTTTACATATTAATGGTCTATCTCAGCACGAACAAAGAAGTCTTGCCCTAAACTGAATATATATATATATATATATATATATATATATATATATATATATATATATATATATATATACACATTTGAATACTTATGTATATCATTTACAGGTCACCTGTTGTATTAATTGCAGACAGCTTGCAGAATTTCTAGGAATCAACAACAGTAGACTTGCCACATTGATAAAGTGAATGCCAATTTAAAAAAAAAAATATGTATTCTCGTTTGGCAGTTCCCCTTAAAATATTTGTGCCTGGTTCGAGTGTGTAAAAAAGTAAATCCTAAATTCAAATATCATGTCATCAACGGGGACTTGGTCATTTTTGTACTTCTAATTAAGCCGATGTTTTTGTTTTGTTTCGAATCCTTACGCAAAGTTTTGAAATTCTCGTGTTCTATTTTTAGCCTATCTCGTTGAATGTAATGTAATTATTTAGGGAGGGGTGGGTAGGACGTTTGATCACCGTAAGCCGGTGAGGATATCATTTCTTTGGATGTTTTCATCCCATTCAATGTAGTATTTTTATCGGGGATTTCCAATTAGAATTACCCGATGCATATTTTTTCCCATCTTTGGTTTCGGATTTTCCCAACAATTGAAATGCGCAGGGTTTAATACCTTTTAAAATGTTTAATTTACTTTTTGTTCAAATTGACAAGAAAAAGCCAGGATAGAAATACGGTGATGAATAAAAAGGATTTAAATAATTCTCACGGATCCATAGCTGCTAATACATTTTTATTTTAGCTCTACTTGTGGATTTAAACGACAGGAAATTTAGACCTGGCTTGCCAATATGGAAGGGGCTGGCCAATGCTGAAACAACTGGCCAATGTGAAATTGTCTGGTTTGTGTAGAAGTGGCTGGTGGTTGGCCAATATAGAAGTGGATGGCCAATATAGATGTGGATGGCCAATATAGAAGTGAATGGTCGATATAGAAGTGGATGGTCGATATAGAAGTGGATGGCAATATAGAAGTGGATGGTCGATATAGAAGTGGATGGTCGATATAGAAGTGGATGGCAATATAGAAGTGGATGGCCAATATAGAAGTGGATGGTCAATATAGAAGTGGATGGCCAATATAGATGTGGATGGCCAATAAAGAAGTGTATGGCCAATATAGAAGTGGATGGCCAATATAGAAGTGGCTGGCCAATATAGAAGTGGATGGCCAATATATAAGTGGATGGCCAATATAGAATTGGCTGGCCAATATAGAAGTGGCTGGCCAATATAGATGTGGCTGGCCAATATAGAATTGGATGGCCAATATAAAAGTGGATGGCCAATATAGAAGTGGCTAGTCAATGAAGAAGTGGTTCTAGTAATACAATTATTTAATATAAAATAAACACGTTTTAATACGCGTGGAAATTATAATTAACACTATACAAGTTATTAAGTTGAGAAATATCCTATCTTATTTTTATTCATCTCAGAAAAATCGTTGAAACCAACGCGTTTTGTAATATTTTCCTGGTGATTTATTGAACCCATCCTCTATCTATTATTGAGTAGCCTGCTAAACTAAAAAAAAATATATTCACAATTGAATATATTTTAGCATTAATAGCTTACTGAATTCAGAATTAGGCCTACATATGTGTATGCTTAATTCTAATGTCCATAAGTAATTACTTCTTTGAATGTAATATCTAACCGAATAGAATTCTTTTCCGATGTTTCACAAAATACAACATACCCATTTTTCAGCATACATTTCTCAAAATCATTATCAGCATCAATTTTCAACATCTGTTTATCAGCATCTATTTTTAAAATCCATCCATTTTACATCTCAGCACTCTTTGTCCTATTCTAAGTATTCATTTACAAACATTAATTTTCAACAATCATTGTCATTATCCACATCCATTGTCAGCATCCATTTCTCACGATCAATTGTTATTATCCATCTCTATCATAATCCATTTTCATCATACATTTCTCATCCATTTCTCATCCACGTATCAGCATCCTTTGTCATCATCCATTTCTCATCCATTTCTCATCTACGTATAAGCATCCTTTGTCATCATCCATTTCTCAGGATCCATTGTCATCAACCATTTCTCAGCATCAATTGTCATCATACATTTCTCAACATCCATTTCTCAGTATCCATTGTCAGCATCCATTTCTCAGCATCCGTTGTCATCATCCATTTCTCACGATCCATTGTCATTATCCATTGTCAGCATCCATTTCTCAGCATCAATTGTCATCATACATTTCTCAACATCCATTTCTCAGTATCCATTGTCATCATCCATTTCTCACGATCCATTGTCAATATCCATTGTCAGCATCCATTTCTCAGCATCAATTGTCATCATACATTTCTCAACATCCATTTCTCAGTATCCATTGTCATCATCCATTTCTCACGATCCATTGTCATTATCCATTGTCAGCATCCATTTCTCAGCATCAATTGTCATCATACATTTCTCAACATCCATTTCTCAGTATCCATTGTCATCATCCATTTCTCACGATCCATTGTCATTATCCATTGTCAGCATCCATTTCTCAGCATCCATTGTCAGCATCCATTGTCATCATCCATTTCTCACGATCCACTGTCATCATCCATGTATCAGCATCCATTGTCATCATCCATTTCTCACGATCCACTGCCAACATCCATGTATCAGCATCCATTGTCAGCATCCATTTCTCACGATCCACTGTCATCATCCATGTATCAGCATCCACGTTGTTCTCCATCCCTTTATGTTTGCCCGTGCTATCAGCCAGCCTGGAGAAATCTGACACCCCCAGCCCACATTCATCTCCTCACGCCTCAGTTCCTGCAGGTATTCTCGTTCCCCGGTTCTTTCCCTTGTCAAGGTCACGTGGTAACCCTGCTTCTGCCCACGTCTGCTGCTCCACGTCACGGACTAGCAATTGTCGGCTGCTGTCAACATCCTAGCGCCTTGCCTGACTTCTGCTAGACTTTTGCTTGGAGGTGTTAGAAATCATCATGTGGGGAGGCTTGTCATACACAGTAGTTCGTGTGAGCACATTTAGAAACACAACTCATGACGTGCACCCGTCAATCACACATTTCTGGCGTAGGTGTCGGGAAAACATACACAAAAATCTGGTCTATATTTAGCTTGAAATCGCGTGACTCGTTAGCAATGTAAATCAGTTTTTCTTGAGAATTGTTCTCTGAGGTGTAAAATTGGCGTAGTCTAAACGCCATCTTAATAGCACAGTAGTCTACACACCATCATATCATAGTCTAGATACCATCATATCATACTCTACACACTATCATAGTCATACAGAAGTCTACACACCATCATATCATACAGTAGTCTACACACCATCATATCATACAGTAGTCTACACACCATCATATCATACAGTAGTCTACACACCATCATATCCTACAGTAGTCTACACACCATCATATCATACAGTAGTCTACACATCATCATATCAACACACTAGTCTACACCATCATATCAACACACTAGTCTACACACCATCATATCCTACAGTAGTCTACACACCATCTTATCATACAGTAGTCTACACACCATCATATCATACATTAGTCTACACACCATCATATCAACACAGTGGTCTACACACCAGCAACACACACAGCTTTATTAAGTTTCTAGCTGTAAGGGGATATCATTGCTTTTCAAGCTCCACACCTAGATAATTAGCTACGTCATTAAAAACACAAAAGCATTGTCTTCTATTACAGACGTTAATTAATTATAACATTGATAATCGATCGTATGGATTTGTTTTCTTTAATTTTACCATCTCTTATACGGTGTATTGAGGACGTGTTGTAATCCTGGAAAAAATCGAAATAATGATTTTGATAAATCTCGATATTTATACACATTCCTTAGGGGGGAACTTTGTGTTGCAATCTTGTCGGTGAGTATGTCTGTATGTGTGTATGTGTGTGTGTATGTGAACCAGATAACTTGAGTATATATAAGCTCGGTTGACATAGTTTTATGTCCATTCGGTAGCTATCTATCAACTTTGAATTATTTCCGCTAACCGGAAAGAGCACATATTCTACTTCCGATTTCCCCAAAAGCCGATAACTTGACTACTGTTTCAGTTAGGTGTAGGAAATTTTACATATAAGGATCAGATTGTTCCTATTAACTTTTGAACTTTTCCGGTTATCGGAAGTGGTGCTTTACTGTATTTTTTCCCGTGGAAACAGGATAACTTGATGACGACGAGATTTCATATATAAATAAAAAAATAAAAAAAATAATTTATACTTTATTTATATACATTTTGTGTGACCTTCAGTATTTGGAAGTAGTTGTATTTTCGATTTTTAAAATACCGGCAACACTATTTTCGTTTTAGTTAGAGATTTACGTTAAAAGAAAGGGATACTTTATTTCCGATGTCTCATACACCTTCAGAATCTGATAATTTTATATAATATAATCACAAAGCAGCATAATCTTACAACTTTTTAATTTTTACCTAAATGTGCTTTCTTGAAAAATTTGCGGTTTCTTCACAAACCTCTACATTTCTATAGCCCGATTCTACTGGTAGTCCAATATCAACCCTTACTGTTCAATCAAAATATGAGATGAAGTTTAGGGGAGCGCACTCCTGATTTATTTTAAAAAGATATATATATATATTTTTAAAGTACACACACACACACACACACACACACACACACACACACACACACACACACACACACACACACACACACACACACACACACACACACACACACACACACATATATATATATATATATATATATATATATATATATATATATATATATATATATATATATATATATATATATATATATATACATTCTATACTTTTCGTGAACTTTCCAGGTAAAGTTGCTGTGCTGCCCAGCCCATTAAGTGTAACCTTTGATAATGTTGACTTTAAAGACCAGTTTTGACACCCTTCAACATTAGTCAACATCACAAGAATCAAACGAGTGAACTATTCCATAAAGAAAAAAAATAAATAAAAAGACCGCGTGGATGCGCCCAATAAACAGCTCACAACAGTTGTTCAATAAAAAAACACCCATTGAAATCCATTTCATGGCCACTATATTTGAGGTTTGTGTAATGATTATGTAACAGAATGGAGAATTTGGTTAATTAGTATGGGGGGCGTATGGGATGTATTTAACAATGTTTCATAAAATGGCGTTGAATTAATTTTTTTTCATATTGGTCTAAATGTCTTGTATATTTAGTAAGTTTTTTTGGGATAATTTAACTCACCTAGCTTACATATTCTTACTTATTACACAATATAAAGCTATACAGAGTTGCTGAAACATAACTCACTTGAAAATCGAAGTAATGTAATTTATGCTATGATTATTAAAAATACTAATTAAGTTAATGATATATAAAAACAATGTAATGAAAAAAAAAATTACTTTAAAAACCTGGTCAACACCGGCCGCGTTGGACCGAAAGCTATAAAAAATGTAATCATGTAACAAAAATGTAATCATGTAACAAAAGTGTAATCATGTAACAAAAATGTAATCATGTAACAAAAGTGTAATCATGTAACACAAATGTAATCATGTAACAAAAATGTAATCATGTAACAAAAATGTAATCATGTAACAAAAATGTAATCATGTAACAAAAGTATAATCATGTAACAAAAGTGTAATCATGTAACAAAAATGTAATCATGTAACAAAAATGTAATCATGTAACACAAATGTAATCATGTAACAAAAATGTAATCATGTAACAAAAGTATAATCATGTAACAAAAGTGTAATCATGTAACAACAATGTAATCATGTAACAAAAATGTAATCATGTAACAAAAGTATAATCATGTAACAAAAGTATAATCATGTAACACAAAGTGTAATCATGTAACACAAAGTGTAATCATGTAACAAAAATGTAATCATGTAACAAAAATGTAATCATGTAACAAAAAGTGTAATCATGTAACAAAAGTGTAATCATGTAACAAAAGTGTAATCATTTAACAAAAATGTAATCATGTAACAAAAATTTTATCATGTAACACAAAGTGTAATCATGTAACAAAAGTGTTATCATGTAACAAAAGTGTAATCATGAAGCAAAAATGTAATCATGTAACAAAAGTGTAATCATCTAACACAAGTGTAATCATGTAACAAAAGTGTAATCATGTAACACAAAGTGTAATCATGTAACAAAAATGTAATCATGTAACAACAATGTAATCATGTAACAAAAATGTAATCATGTAACAAAAGTATAATCATGTAACAAAAGTATAATCATGTAACACAAAGTGTAATCATGTAACACAAAGTGTAATCATGTAACAAAAATGTAATCATGTAACAAAAATGTAATCATGTAACAAAAAGTGTAATCATGTAACAAAAGTGTAATCATGTAACAAAAGTGTAATCATTTAACAAAAATGTAATCATGTAACAAAAATTTTATCATGTAACACAAAGTGTAATCATGTAACAAAAATGTAATCATGTAACAAAAAGTGTAATCATGTAACAAAAAGTGTAACCATGTAACAAAAATGTAATCATGTAACAAAAAGTGTAATCATGTAACACAAAGTGTAATCATGTAACAAAAATGTAATCATGTAACAGAAATGTAATCATGTAACACAAATGTAATCATGTAACAAAAATGTAATCATGTAACAAAAGTATAATCATGTAACAAAAGTGTAATCATGTCACAAAAGTGTAATCATGTAACACAAAGTGTAATCATGTAACAAAAATGTAATCATGTAACAACAATGTAATCATGTAACAAAAATGTAATCATGTAACAAAAGTATAATCATGTAACAAAAGTATAATCATGTAACACAAAGTGTAATCATGTAACACAAAGTGTAATCATGTAACAAAAATGTAATCATGTAACAAAAATGTAATCATGTAACAAAAAGTGTAATCATGTAACAAAAGTGTAATCATGTAACAAAAGTGTAATCATTTAACAAAAATGTAATCATGTAACAAAAATTTTATCATGTAACACAAAGTGTAATCATGTAACAAAAGTGTTATTATGTAACAAAAGTGTAATCATGAAGCAAAAATGTAATCATGTAACAAAAGTGTAATCATGTAACAAAAATGTAATCATATAACAAAAATGTAATCATGTAACAAAAATGTAATCATATAACAAAAATGTAATCATGTAACAAAAGTGTAATCATGTAACACAAATGTAATCATGTAACAAAAGTGTAATCATCTAACACAAGTGTAATCATGTAACAAAAGTGTAATCATGTAACAAAATTGTAATCATGTAACAAAAAGTGCAACCATGTAACAAAAATGTAATCATGTAACAAAAAGTGTAATCATGTAACACAAAGTGTAATCATGTAACAAAAATGTAATCATGTAACAACAATGTAATCATGTAACAAAAATGTAATCATGTAACAAAAGTATAATCATGTAACAAAAGTATAATCATGTAACACAAAGTGTAATCATGTAACACAAAGTGTAATCATGTAACAAAAATGTAATCATGTAACAAAAATGTAATCATGTAACAAAAAGTGTAATCATGTAACAAAAGTGTAACCATGTAACAAAAGTGTAATCATTTAACAAAAATGTAATCATGTAACAAAAATGTTATCATGTAACACAAAGTGTAATCATGTAACAAAAGTGTTATCATGTAACAAAAGTGTAATCATGAAGCAAAAATGTAATCATGTAACAAAAGTGTAATGATGTAACAAAAATGTAATCATATAACAAAAATGTAATCATGTAACAAAAATGTAATCATGTAACAAAAATGTAATCATGTAACACAAATGTAATCATGTAACAAAAGTGTAATCATGTAACACAAGTGTAATCATGTAACAAAAGTGTAATCATGTAACAAAATTGTAATCATGTAACAAAAAGTGTAACCATGTAACAAAAATGTAATCATGTAACAAAAAGTGTAATCATGTAACAAAAGTGTAATCATGTAACGAAAATGTAATCATGTAACAAAAATGTAATCATGTAACAAAAATGTAATCATGTAACAAAAGTGTAATCATGTAACAAAAGTGTAATCATGTAATAAAAATGTAATAAGGTAACAAAAATGTAATCATGTAACAAAAATGTAATCATGTAACAAATATGTAATCATGTAACAAAAATGTAATAATGTAATAAAAGTGTAGTCATGCAACAAAAATGTAATAATGTAACACAAATGTAATCATGTAACAAAAGTGTAACCATGTAACAAAAATGTAATCATGTAACAAAAGTGTAATCATGTAACAAAAATGTAATCATGTAACAAAAATGTAATCATGTAATAAAAATGTAATCATGTAACAAAAATGTAATCATGTAACAAAAAGGTAATCATGTAACAAAAATGTAATCATGTAACAACAAAGTAATCATGTAACAACAATGTGAGCGATTGGTTGATGGCGGAGATAAGCGACGCCAGCCGCCTAGCAGACTCGTGCGCCGGGGGACGCGACTGCAACAGGCGCCATGATTGGTGGTCACGCAACAGGAAATCAGGCGGCTCGCGCGCGCTCCGTCTGCGGGAATTCGCGCTGCGCGGGATTTGGGCGAAAACCTCGGCTAATTTTTTTAGTTTGACGATGTTTGGTGAGAGTTAGTGCGGGTCTATTCGGAGATAACAGTGTGTTCAAAGTCAGTTGATTGTTATTTTTTTTTTTCACAGTCAATAGAAAACAATAAGAGGAAGTATCCTTCTGAAATAATAATAAAAATCAGTCAATTGTGCGTAGAGAATCTAGATTTTTTTTTAGTCTCTTTTAATTTCTTTTTACATTAATATTTGTGTATAGGCCTATTACTACTCAGTATAATAAATAGTTGAAATAAATTTAATATCTGAAAAAATAATTGTTTATTAACTAATTTATCGTAAAAATTAAAGGTTAACGAGAACTTGATATGGTTCAAACCGGTTTCGTGTGAAAAAAATAAAAATAAAATTCGTAAAGGGAAATAACTGGCTCAGCGGATTCATCGGACTTGAAAAAATTAATGAAATATTATTTAACCTCGTGAGTTAAATTTCGAGTAAAAAAGTGAATAAGCTTAAAAATTAAGGAGCAAGGTGCATCAAACAAGCTTCTAAAAATGTGTTAAAGATTTGAACCCAGGAATGTACGCTGGATAGTGGTAGGTACCGATTACATTTCATTGCTCATGTTTTCATCCTGTGTTGTTTAGCTGGTGATCTAGCACTTACATCAAATTCATGTGTAAAACGTTCTTCTCCGTGTTACCGGGCGAGGAGTGATTAGCATACTCAGTCGTGGGCTGTTTCATTTACACGAGCGTCAGAAACTCAGGGTGGGGGAATTAGAGTTGACAGCCGTCACTCACAGTTAATGTTCTTGTACACTCACTTCCCTCCCCTGCGGCTGTAGTTCTCTACCAACGTTCTTTCATAAAAGTTATCGCAACATTTCAGGAAAGCTCTTTACACATTCCGTCACAAATGTTGTTTGCAAAATGTTTTTCTCAGTAGTTCTTTTAGGGTTTCTTTAAAATTAGTAGTTGAAAGATCCTTTACATAATTTCACTACACATTCGTTAATTCCTTTACAGCAGTACTTTACAAAATTTCACTACACATTTGTAAATTCCTTTACAGCAGTTCTTTACACAATTTCACTATAAATTTGTAAATTCCTTTACAGCAGTACATTACAAACATCCCTTCACAAAAATTCTGAGCCAAAAATATCTCATAGAATTAGACACTCCCCCCCCCCCTAAAAACATTTTCACTGAAGTTCCTCGTTACCGCTCTATACAACCGCACAATACAAAAGGACTTCCAAAAATGTCCTCACAAAACTATACAAACATTACGCACTAAAGCTCTCCATTTAGGCCAACATGTGAATCAACAACATTAAATCTCTCTTTCTCTACCTCTCTCTACTCTCTCTCTCTCTCTCTTTCTCTCTCTCACGCTCTCGTTCTCTCTGTCTCTTCCTTATCCATTTTCCCTTACTGCAGTCGCCCCATCAAAACGGTGACACAAAGTTTCATCCTACCATTGACAGAACGAATGATTATCTAGAAAAGACAGAGAAACACATCTCGCTTAGAGGTGTTGTAGTGGATAGTACTGGTCGGGAATACCCGTAGCTTGAAGCCTGCATTCGTTTGAAACCTATCGATTTCAGCGTTCGATCCGCTCCAAATGATCGCCCGTCTTGGAGCGTCGAGTAATAAAACACACCGGTTTTATCGGTTGCTTCCCTTAGTGCTAAGCTGTTATTATTGGACGTGGGATTGCTGCGTCTGTTTACCGTGTTCGTCTGCTTACTGTATCATTGTCTCACCAGTCTCACCTCTCTGCTGGCTGTATCATTGTCTCACCAGTCTCACCTCACTGTATCATTGTCTCACCAGTCTCACCTCTCTGTATCATTGTCTCACCAGTCTCACCTCTCTGCTCACTGTATCATTGTCTCACCAGTCTCACCCCACTGCTCACTGTATCATTGTCTCACCAGTCTCACCTCACTGTATCATTGTCTCACCAGTCTCACCTCACTGTATCATTGTCTCACTAGTCTCACATCTCTTCTAACTGTATCATTGTCTCACCAGTCTCACCTCTCTTCTCACTGTATCATTGTTCACCAGTCTCACCTCTCTTCTCACTGTATCATTGTCTCACTAGTCTCACCTCTCTGCTCACTGTATCATTGTCTCACCTCTCTGCTCACTGTATCATTGTCTCACCACACTAGTCTCACCTCTCTGCTCACTGTATCATTGTCTTACCACACCAGTCTCACCTCTCTGCTCACTGTATCATTGTCTCACTAGTCGCACCTCTCTGCTCGCTGTATCATTGTCTCACCTCTCTGCTCACTGTATCATTGACTCACTACCCCAGTCTCACCATACACGTCATTTCGCTGTATCATTGTCTCACCAGTCTCACCTCCCTGCTCACTGTATCAATGTCTCACCACCAGTCTCACCATACACGTCATTTCGCTGTATCATTGTCTCACCAGTCTCACCTCTCTGCTCACTGTATCATTGTCTCACCAGTCTCACCATACACGTCATTTCGCTGTATCATTGTCTCACCAGTCTCACCTCTCTGCTCACTGTATCATTGTCTCACCAGTCTCACTATACACGTCATCTCGCTGTATCATTGTCTCACCATCATTAGTCTCACCCTGGTCTCACAGCACTACCACTCCATATAATCACCACCTAGTCAGGCTGCATCATAGTCTCACCAAATCACCACTTTCTATCCTTACATTCTCTCCCCACACATCCAAACCCACCCTCTCCCACACTATCGTCTCCCAATCTCTTGCCACCCCCCCTTACTTCTCAAACCACTGTTTCCCACACATCGCACCCCACCATCTCCCCCACACATCGCACCTCACCATCTCCCCCACACATCGCACCTCACCATCTCCCCCACACATCGCACCTCACCATCTCCCCCACACAACGCACCCCACCATCTCCCCCACACAACTCACCCCACACTGTCCACTTTTGCCAGATACATCTATTACCACTGTCTATACTTTAAACTAACCCCCCCCCCCCCCCAACCCCATACAATTCACCCTTCCCTACACACCATCTCTCAACAATTTCAACTCGCCTCCACCGCACAAACCATTTCCCTATCCCCACTCCCACACCTTTTAACAACATTTCACACCATTATTTTCACCAACCACAAAATCTGAAACTCTCTACACTATACTTCCTCTCCCGTCCATTTCTTTACGTCACTCTAACGTTTAAAACTAAGGACCAATCAAATTGTTTCCTTCAGCTGTTTACATGTCACGTGATTATACAGTTCTAGTGGAAGATTGGGCGACGTTAATGCCCAACACGGAAAGAATAAAAATAAAACTTTAATTGACGTTTAGTTCGCGAGGTCTGCTGGTTTAACTGGTGGAAATAAATCCAACAATAAATCCAACAATAAATCCAACAATAAATCCAACAATAAATCCAACAATAAATTCAACAATAAACTCAACAATTTGTTGATACCTTCACGTGTCTAGGGGCGTCAAGAGGGTTTAATGAACCTTTTAAAGTCGTCCCCTCCCCCCCACTACCCACACCTATAACGAGTATTACATATCCCTTCCCTCACGCACAGTATGACTGCTGTACCATCCACATACATATCCCACAATCATTACCAAGACCATCTCGCTAATTAGTATTATCAACGTAACACGGAATGTAGTCAATTTTACCGTGTTTCGGAGTACGAACTTATAACTCGATTCGTTCGAAACCTGAGGCAAACGAGCTGAAGAGACATTGTTTTAATGTCAAGTAATCTGTAACACAGCGACAGTGTAAATCCTAGACGATGGTGCTATATCCTTTAATCACTAAACTAATCATTGCTTTAATTAACGACTTTCTTGTAAGAATTAATCACAGCATTCGTAGCCTGCAATTACCTGAAGTGTTCGAATTGATTGGTAATAATTACGATCATTCAAGCTTATTTATAGTGCAGTCAATAAAAAAAAAAAGCAAAAACAGCTTAGAAGATCTTCGCTGAAAATTTGCCGTTTCACACAAGTTAAATTTGTCATACTTCTTATCTTCAGAAAATGAGAAAGACGTTTAATGTGTATAATGTGTAATAAAGTAAAAATCACAATGTGTTTTATAATTCGTCATGAGATAAATACTATACACCATAGATAAATCTAGGTTCAACTCAGTATGAAAGACAGACCCCCCCCCCCTAACTATAAGAAGTATCGAACAAGCAACACCACACAGCAACACCACACAGCAACACCACACATCAACACCACACATCAACACCACACATCAACACCACACATCAACACCACACATCAACACCACACATCAACACCACACATCAACATCACACAGCAACACCACACATCAACACGACACAGCAACACCACACCGCAACACCACACAGCAACACCACACATCAACACCACACATCAACACCACACATCAACACCACACATCAACACCACATAGCAACACCACACATCAACACCACACATCAACATTATCAACCAGAGGCGTTGTTAGAATATGACCATCATTATCATCATGATTTGTGTGGGGGGGGGGGGGAGGAAGGGGGTGGTCAGCTGTATTGGACCCAGGGACGGTCAATATTGTGTGGTCTACGTCTTTCGCAATGCGGACTGGATTTTCTGCAGGCTATTACCGTTTGTATCAATAGGTATTCAGAGTGTTATGATGGGTATTAGTAGGATATCAGAGTGGTATGATGAGTATCAGTAGGATATGAGAGTGTTATGATGGGTATTAGTAGGATATCAGAGTGGTATGATGTGTATCAGTAGGATAGAGTGTTATGATGGGTATCTGTAGGATATCAGTGGTATGATGGGTATCTGTAGGATATCACAGTGGTATGATGGGTATCTGTAGGATATCAGAGTGTTATGATGGGTATCTGTAGGATATCAGAGTGTTATGATGGGTATCTGTAGGATATCAGAGTGTTATGATGGGTATCTGTAGGATATCAGAGTGGTATGATGGGTATCTGTAGGATATCAGAGTGTTATGATGGGTATCTGTAGGATATCACAGTGGTATGATGAGCATCAGTAGGATATCAGAGTGGTATGATGAGTATCAGTAAGACATCAGTGGTATGATGGGTATCTGTAGGATATCAGTGGTATGATGGGTATCTGTAGGATATCAGTGGTATGATGGGTATCTGTAGGATAGAGTGGTATGATGGGTATCTGTAGGATATCACAGTGAGATGATGGGTATCTGTAGGATATCAGTGGTATGATGGGTGTCAGTAGGATATCACGGTGTTATGATGTGTATCAGTAGGTATTCAGAGTTTTATGATGTGTATCAGTAGGATATCACAGTGGTATGATGTGTATCAGTAGGATAGAGTGGTATGATAGGTATCTGTAGGATATCATAATGGTATGATGGGTATCTGTAGGATATCAGTGGTATGATGGGTGTCAGTAGGATATCACGGTGTTATGATGTGTATCAGTAGGTATTCAGAGTTTTATGATGTGTATCAGTAGGATATCACAGTGGTATGATGTGTATCAGTAGGATAGAGTGGTATGATAGGTATCTGTAGGATA